GTTGGCACTGACTCCACAAGTACTAGACTGGATGTAGGCTTGAGAACAGAAGGAATCAAGGATGAGTTTCAAGTCTCTCAACAGTTCAAAGAAAAGTTATGCCCAGAAACCTTTCCTTCCCACAAAACAGCACAGCTTCTGTTCCACATAGTTTTTGCTCTTAGAATCTGGTGGAAGTCGAAGATGGGAGGCCAGCTGGGAGTAGCATTGCCATGTCTGTGGTAGCCGAGCTGCATCTTCAGAGCCATTAAAATACTCTTCTAGACCCCAGGTGCATATCCCCTAACTCACAGATTGCCAAATTTGGCACACAGGCCCCTTTTCAGAAAAAAATACTCAGCACCCCCTTGGCAACTAAAAACATTGGTACTGGAGCTCATACTCCAAGATAAAGTGTAGGTATCTGCTTTGCAGCCGCCTGGATTGTTCCAGCACCTCAATTTGAGAAATACTGTTCCAATTGCTAGGCAGTCTATGTTTCTCAGAACTTCACTCCAGCCTTTCTTAAAGCTTTTAAGCAAGAGTGCTCACACTTTTTTCAGCATGCAAGCTACTTATAAAATGAGCAAGTCAAAATGATCTACCAACTACAAAATGTAAAACACTTATTTATTTATTTATTCATAAATGCATGGAGATTTCTTTATATATACAATATGTTTATGTACCTTGCATAACTGCATGAGTCCATATTGCACAACACAACACAATTAACTATGTACATTTTTTGTCATTACCTGAGTTTACTCTGATGACTTGCACTGAATGGATGAAACAGGGATGTATAGTCCGGACAGTAGCTGCTGACAGCCAGCCTTAAGCACACTTCCAATGATCATCAGTCATGGTGGAACGGTACTTGGACTTAAAGGATCTTTATGTGGGAAAAGGCTGACTCACATAAATAAGGAGAGCCAAAAAATGCAGTCAAGGAGGTAGCACATTTTCTCAGGTTTGGGCACTTTCCCTCTGCGAGTAAGTTCCAGAACTGTTCATGCGCTCTGGACTTCAGCTGAAGGTCAGCTTGTAGTGTCAAAATCTCCCATTCCGTATGAAAGTGATGTGTTTTTGTCTTCTTACTTGGTCCAGCTCCCCCACTCATTTTAATACCCTTTCTTACGTTTCAGAGACAAAAACAAGGTCTAAAAATTGGCGATAACATAGATTGTCAGTTTTGCTGCACTGAGCACAGTTGTTTACGCATGCATTTGACACCTAAGATTGCATCTGATTGATTACACTGTATATCAATTAAGTGACGGGATTGATAATAGGCTTACATCTATTTTTTAATGCCATGCAATCTACGCATAATACATTTGCGATATCGACTAGAAGATTGTGATCGACGTATTGAGCACCCCTGCTTGTAAGAATGGCTGTTTGACAATGCTGAGTAGAATCAAGTGTGTGGATGAGACAAATCCGTGTTTGATGGGGTTTACACTTGAGCCTAAATACTTCGTCTCATTCAGCTGTTGTGGAATGTTCAACAGGCAGATCAGCAGCAGCTGGGAGCTTGTTTGAAAGGCGGCAGCACCTCAGGTCCCCAAGAGCTTTACGGAGCAGAATCTCTTAGAATGGCTGTTGCCATGGAACTAGCCCGACTCATGGCAAGCCACGAGTACCACAGGAGGACCACGATGGAGCGGGTTTGCACTGGCTGGTCTTTTCAGAAATGGACCATCAGGCTTTTCTTCCAAAGTGTCTCTAGGGAGCCTACAACTTCCAACATCGTAGTTCGCAGCTGAGCACATTAATCATTTGCAGCACCCAGCAGAACACCCCGCCCCCATCCCTCAATCCCCCCAAAAACTCCAAACGCATTGCCATCGACTCATACTGATAGAGTTCCCAAGGCTGTGGATCTTTACAAAAACAGACAATTCAATTTTCTCCCCTGGAGCAGTGGGTGGGTTTGAACCACCAATGTGTGGTTAGAAGCTCAAGGTATAACCCATTTCACCACCAGGGCTCCGTGGGACTCCTCTCCAGGAATGTGCACTCAGTGTCTAAACACACTCTCTAGGAGCTGGGTGATGCCCCTTCCACTGAGGTCTGAGACGCCCAGAGTTAGCTCACCTGTAGGCAAAGCTTTGGTATACCCTGAGTGCTCAGCAGGTGATAAAAAACAAAACAAATACTTGAGATCATTTAAATAAGGCAAGATCATCTTATGGAACAAGTTCTAGGACTTGAAGAGCTGGTATCTAAAATCACATTTCTTATCTACTTCAGCTTGTAACATGGAAGTGAACATCAGGGCGTATTTTTTAAAAATAGAAGTGTTGTACATGAGTTTTCAAGATATAAATCCTTTTGCTTTTTGGAAGAGACTAAATGGGAGCAGAGAGCCTGCCCAAGGAAATAAGCAAAATTTTAAACAGCTTCCAGTGGGATGGGACTTTCTGGCTGACACAGGAAAGGCAACAGAGAGTTAACTTCGGGAAGAAAAGCAAGTTTTACTAATGCCCTTGGGGAAGCCATTCAGGATCTGAGGCCAGAGAAACTATCTCTGGCAGCTTTCCGGCCAGGCTCTGCTTGGATGTTCTCAAGGCTAGCACTGAAATCCACACAGCTTCAAGCAGGACTCCTACCTCGAACAGAACTTTCTCTGTAGGTTCAAAAAGCAACATCTTGTCCCCTAACTTAATACCTTTGATTATCCCACCCAATGGAGTTTCAAAAACATCCAGTTTTGATTCAAGTATCACGTTTTTTATTTTGAGAGAGTTTACCTAAACACTCGAAAATGAAAACAGAAAGGCAAGAAGAAATAATAAACCAGCTTAACAATGAACGCTATATAAACTCTGGGGGAGTGAATGGTTTATTTATAAATAAGCATCGCTGACAACTCCGCAGGAAATCCAGAGGACAGCATAAACGGGAAGTTCACTAACTCCTTCACCCCAAATCTTAAAGCCTAGACTGGGCCCTATGTTTCGGTGACTCGCCTACTCACACTACTCACACCGGCTTTTGTGAGCCTGTGCAGTCCTGGGTGAGCTGTAAATATTTGCCCTACGCCCAGCTGCTGAAGCTGCAGCTGACAGACAGGCTGGGGGCCGGGAGAGGGACAGTCTGAAAACTTACCAGGCCTGGTGTGCTCATAAGGAGCAGGGGGATGGGAAAGGGCAGAGAGGAGCAAAGTGGACACAGACCCCTGAGGCTCTTAAATAAATATACCCCTCCTGGCCATGCCAACTGGGGCAGGGCAACCACAGAGGGGCAGCCGAATGACCCATGCCCACATGGCCCAGACCCACATCCCCAGAGATGTGGAAATACCCATTTGCTGAAAATATGCCACATTTTCAAAGAAACCAATGTTTTACAACTGGTGTTAATTTTGCCCCACTCCCCCACGCCCAACACTTAGCAATGTCTGGAGACAAGTTTGATTGTCACGACTTGGGTGGGTGGGTAGAGGGTTAAATACTAGCACTTAGTGGATACAGATTAGGGATAGTGCTAAACCACCCATGATGCCACCTGAGTCCCTCAATACAGAATAATCCAGCCCCAAATCTGAGGTGCAGTTTCCAATTCAGCTCACTGCCATAGAGTCAAATCTGCCTCATAGCGACCCCATAGGAGAGAGAAGAGAGGCCCTGGTGAGTTTCCAAGACTGTAACTCTTTATGGAAAGAGTAGACAGCCCCAGTTTTTCTCTCCACCTTAAGTTTGGGCATCCTGAAATAGACCCTGGATCCTGAATCCTAGCTCTGCTTCTAGTCACTGTTTGAATTGGGGCTGGATATACAACCTTCCTAAACCTGTTTTCTCAGCTCAAAGGATTAAACAGATAATATATGTCAAGTGCTCACAGCAGTTGCTGGCACACAATAAACACTCAATAAATGGTGCTTGTGGTTACACACCAAAAAACAACACAACAGTAGTTAAAAGGCTGGGCTGTAGAGACAGTCACACATGGGTTCAAATCCCACTTTTGGCATCTAAAGCTCTGTGACCCTGGGCACAAGCTATCTTACTAGATCAGAAAAGAACCCAAGAGGAAGTGCTTAGCACAGTGCCTGGAGCAAAATAAGCCCTGGTTAGTGGTGGCAATTATAATTACCACTCTCTCCCAGGGCAGGCACAGGGCTCCAGTGGGAGGCCTTAAAGGGAACTGCAAGGTAACACCTGGGCATTTACTCTGGCTCTGCACATTGCCAAGCGCTTAGATTCTGACAATCACGTAGTCTACATTTAAAGAAGCTGGGCACTTGGAAGTGGACTACCAAAGTTACCTGGCTGATTAACAGCTCAGATTTAAACCGTTCTAAGTCTGGTGGCTTCATTCTTGATTAAGACTTCATACTGGGTGGAGAGGTTTCTTTAATTCCCTCTGGAAGCCCTGAATGAATACCCTACAAGATGCCTGGGTATGTTTCCCCATGGGTCATGTCTCTAGAGACCATAGTTTCCAACTTTAGCGAGGTTAAGCAGCTATCTTGTTCAAGGTCACCTACCTAGTTGGCAGCAGAGACCACATTTGAATTCGGCTTTACCTCCAGGAGGCCTCTATCTTCTGGAATCCTTCTAAACTTACTCCCCATTGGTTGTGGAAGTCCCTTTCTTCTCCTGAAATCTCAGGGGATGCACGGATATAGTTGTCCCTGCGTGTCACATCTCCCAACAGAGGTTAAGCAAATCCCCCAATATCAAGCAGCTGCTCTGAGCAGAAAAGAAAAAACCACAGCCTGCCTCCCCGCCAAAAAAAAAAAAGCCACCTATGAATACAGATCTGACTTTGGAGCCGCACTCTTAATTCTGATTCCACACTTAGAGCGCCTCTACACTTTGACTATGTGTGACTATCAAGTCTGTAGGGGATCACAGTCGCATGGTCGCACAGTTTCTGGTCCTGGTTAATAAGGCTGGCAAGAGGGATGCAGGGATGCTCTTGGGATGCTCCTGACAACCCTGGGCGGAAATGGAAAGGACTGGAGCAGGCTGCCTAGCTACGGTTTGGGACGAGCGGCGGGCACCTACCTTGTCACCGAGCGGCGCGGCCACGCAGCGGCTGAGCGAGTCCAGGCGCGAGCTGTACTCGGTGAACTTCTTCTGGTAACGCAACGCTGTCATCTGCAACTCCAGCTGTGTCGCGGCCAGCTGCGCCACTAGGGACTTTTCGCGCTTGCCTGCGCGCAGCGCCTCCTTCTTGAGCGCCTTGTGCAGCGCGCCGAGGCGGGCCTGCAGGGCGCCGTTGTGCGCCCGCAGAGCCCGCGCGCAGCAGTGGCCGCCGGCGCGCTGCTCGCCGTGCGTCAGGGGCAGCCCGCAGCCCTCCTGGCAGCGGCCCACGGGCCGCGCGTCGCACGCGTCGCGCATATGCGTCTCCACGTCGCGCCGCAGCAACACCTGGCCGCAGCCCGGGTGGCGGCAGCGGGTGGGCGCGAAGTCGCAGCGCTCGGCGTGCTCCGGCAGCTGCTGCAGCTTGACCACCCGGCCGCAGCCGCGCGCCGCGTGCGCGCACTTGATGTCCAGCTTGAGGATGAGGCGCTTGAGCGGCAGGACGTGGTTGAGCTCCTTGGCCGACAGGCGACCGCGGCAGCGCGCAGGGCAGCTGCCCTCCTGCACCACCCAGGGCAGCACGCAGCCGGCGCAGAAGACGTGGCCGCACGGCGTGGTCAGTGGGTCCTCCAGGACTTTGTGGCACAGCGCACACTTAAGGTCCGGGTCCACATCCCCGTCGAAGCGGTCCAGCTCGAAGCCCATGGTGGCGGCCGGGGTCCGGGGTCGCCGGCCGGCCGGCCGGCCGCCCGCCCCCTCCCTCCCTCCTTACGAGGCGGCCCAGACACGCCGGCTGCGCAGCCCGCTCTCCCGCTCGCTCGCCCCAGACTGAGCCTAATTGCTCCAGACTTCCTCGGAAAATGCCCGAGGAAAAGGACTCCTCCGGCCGTATTTGCGCGAGAGCGAGCGCACAAGCATCCTGTCTGGGCGGTCTCCCGCCAGCCCGCTGCCGAAAGGGGGAGGCCCAGAGGCTCAGGGGGATGGAGAAACTCGGAGCCTCCCCGAAGGTTCTGGCCCTCTCCTCCGCCTTCCCCTCCCCCGAAGTGTGGCCCGAGCTCGGCTTTATCTCGGGGCGCTTCTCCGCCCTCCTTGGGGGATTTTTTTTTTGCTACAGGAGAAAATACGCCAGCCAGGAAAATGTCATGGAGTTTGGACTTCAGGCTGCTTGTTTCCTCTCAAAGGAGTCCCCTTGGAGGCACTTTTTTGATAAAGCAAGTCGTTTTACTTTCCCCTTCGCGTGTGATGTGGTGTGTTCATTTGAATGGGACGAAAATTAAAAGGGCCCCGCTCTCCTAGCACTTACGACCGTTATTTATTTATTTCCAGGGAAAGTTACAGAGTCTGCGGGATGTTCCAGCGGCTACTCCACTTGGGCTCCGGAGTTCTGCGGTCTCGGGAGCGAGCACCGGGGACCAGAGCTGCCCGCAGCTGCGGCTGGGGGAGGCTGGCGGGCCACTAACACCTCGCGGCAAGAGCTGCGCCGGCCGCTTCTAAGTGGCCCTTTTAAAAAGCCATCAGCACAAAGTTGTGAGAGAGTGTTCAGCGCCTTGTATAAATGATCTTTTCCGCAGTTACAAAAGAAGTAACGCCGGTCGTAAACAAGCTAGCTGCTGAAGTCCCGATGCTCTGCCGCCACCCCCCACCCCCCCACCGGTACTAACTGTATTCCTTCAGTTATGTTTCTGTGTTTCCTGCTTGGGTTGGGTTTCCATTTTACCATTAGGAGTTTAGGCCCTGAGAAGACAAATGCTGCCTAGGATTCTGTAGAGCTCTGTTTCCCATGTTCTAATACAGTTGCAGATTCCGACCCAGTGGGCCCGGGCTGAGCAGGACAATGCGTGCGCGGTTAACCAGCTCACAGATGATGCTGATGTGGCTGGTCCTTGGATTATGCTTGATGATTGGAAGACCCTGACCTTTATGATTCCAGGTTCTTTTTTCTTTCTCAGTGGGGTAGCTATTGAAGTAAAATAGCGACCCTAACTGGGTAACTTTCAGCCACCTCCTGAGTGTAAAAGGGTTGGTTACTCTTGGATTCAAACCCAGGTGGAAAATCCGTAACCTCGCCACGCATGTGGTTGGTTACTCTTTTTCCGGACATCCCAGGAAACACGAAGTCAGAGTTGCTGAATGCAATGAAGCTATGGAGTTTGAGACCAGGGAGAGAGGGATTGTAGCATCCATTTTGTCGAATTGCTCTTTCTGTGATGTGGCTGCTAAAACTCCCTAACCAACGCCGTTTAACAGCTTCATTGGTGTGAAAAGATCTTCCTCATGTCCACAATGATTACTTGTTCTAAAATGACCTTTAAGGGTTGTCATTGACTAGATTGGGGGTGGTGCATGTTGGGTTCACTGCACAGTGTTCTTTGATTGCTGTTGGTAGTATTTGCCTATTTGTTCCAGGTACTTTTAATATCTTTAATCAGTTCATACCTTTCCTTTACGGCACATGGGCAGAGTGAGCGCCCTGTCTTCAGATAAGCATGTGCAGGACTCGTTCTTCAGTGTATTTATTAAGCTGCTCCCAGACGCTCAGATAATGGGTAAGAAGTCAATTCTTTTAACAAAGGTGTGTGGGCTTGTCAGTTTCACAGGGTGGGCTAGTGTCAAAAGGGTGGGAATCAACCCAAACTGGTTTGAGCAACAGCAAAGCTCTGGGAAGCTCATAGACTACACATGGGAAATGAATGCTTATTATACTCTTCTCTCGAGAGCAGTCTTCCTGCCCTCCCAGCCCCCACACATGGTAGAATGAGAGGTTGTTGATGAAGCCCTGCAGCTGGGACCACCGACTGCTGTGGGCTGACCTCTTTAGGCCAAAGAAGAGTCTGTCAACCACGCCTCGGGTTATTTTTAGTACATATTGAAATTCCTGGAGCTCAGCAAAAGAAAGAAAGAAAACCCTAGAATGTGTCATTCTGGGACATGCATGTTTTTCAGCTTTTTAATTTTACAGATCACATAGCTAGCTAAGGATCAGAAAGGTTGAAATACAGGAACAATGTATTCAGCAGCGTTTCTCAAACCTTAGCAATGTGGACATGTGGTTCCAAGCAACACTTTGTCCTGCATGAAGATGTTGAGGTATATGCCAAAAAACTACTTTAAAAGAACAACAAAACATGTTTTTAAATTGATAGTGGTAATTGTACAACTCTTAATAAGATTGAACTATTAAATTGTATGGTATGTGAATTGTATGCCAATAAAACTATTTTTTTTAAGATGGTGAGCAAAATCCCTTTCCTCTGTCTTAAAATGCAGAAGGAGCCCCTCCCCCACACCCTCTCACAGTCAAAACTGTCTCCAGATATTGCCAAGGATCCCCCAAGGGTGTATTTGGCCCCAATGAAGAAAGACTGGTTTAGGGCACGCTTTTGTTCCCTGCCCAAGTCAAGCTGTGCTAGCAGCCTCCAGAAAGACTGGTGAGCGCAGCACCTGAAGAGCAAGCCCCACTAAAGAACATGGAGCAAACCTGGAAGCTGAGTGTTAAGTGTGGTAGGCCATCTGAGAAAAGGAACTGATGTTTCCTGAGTTGGATTAGCTAGTCTTTTGACCAACTGAAAAGCATCTGGTGGTGGTGATGGCTGTGCTTAGGAGCCATCAAGTTGGCCCAGACTCCACTCATGGCAACCCTGTGCACCCCAGATTAACATACTGCCCTGTTTTGTGTCATCCCCACGGTTGATTACAGATGGAACCACGATGATCTCACTGACGGATATTTGGAAGTAGATAGCCAGGCCTCTATTTGTAGTCCATCTTACTCTGAAAACTGCTCAAACCTCTTCAGGGTCTTGGTAGTATGGAAGCCCTGGGATAGGTCCTTTTTTGACTTGACTATTTACTCACTGTCATTGGCTCAGTTCTGACTCATAGTGACCTTATAATTATGAATATACAGATGAATCCCCATCAACAGATGATTGCTCACCTTGGTAACTACTCTTGCAGCCTCCACCACCCCTGCCACAAGTGCTGCATTTTCCCTTCAAATTCTTCACTTTCTAACCAACGTGTAGTCCAGGCTTAATGCAAAATTGATTTCTTTATTGCCCATCATCATACTTCTATTTTAAACTCTGTTTTTCCCAACCCACCCGCAAGCATCGTTAAAGATCATCATATTAACTGTCATTGACTGAACTTATACTTTATGCCACCGGTAGACGTATTACTAAGTTGTTTTTTATAAAGAGATTGAGGTTTATCCAGGTTATAAAAGTTATCCAAATTGCACTCAGAAACAAACAGGTGGATTGTAAACCTCTCACTCTTAACCACTATGACCATTACGCTGCCTCCTCCCTAAGCCTGTCTTAGGAGACACTACCTTACAAATGATTCAGAAGATCACATTCCATTTTTACTCCTCTCACTTGCCCCTGCACCAATTGCTCCAAGAGACCTGGCAGTTTGTGGTTTTAGAACAGAGAAAGCAAAAAAGTCAGTTCTTTGGTAGCTACCCAGGGCCTCAATGTTTGCACTTCATTAACTGATATACCACCATCCATTTAGATCAATCAGCATTTTCTTGTACCAAATGGAAGTACTGCCAGAAATCCTTGCACAAACGAGTGAGAAATACTCCAGTCAGGCCGCTTGCCTCCTAACATCCCTATTGCCAGTCATTCTGGGGGGTTGGGGACTTTGACCTCTGTAGAGGCTGAAGAGAAGTATGCAAGTTTTGATTCTGGAGCCTGTAAAAGACTAGGATGAGTCGGGATGACCCATCACCATAGGATCATTGGATAGACTAATAGGATTTGTTGGGAAAATGTGCAAAATCTGTTGCTAGTTACTGAAAGGCCAGAATTCTAATCCACCAACCTCTCCACTGGAAAGAGATGGTATCATGCTTCGGTAAAAATGACAGCTTTAGAAACCATATGAGGAGTTCTACTCTGTCCTATAGGGTCATGATGAGCTATTATTGACCTCAAGGTATGTACCGCATACACTGATGCACTAGAGAGAATTTAGAGATCAGAGCAGTCTGAAGGAGTGGCGAGTATTTGCTTGAAGGATAAGAACGAGTCAGCAGTAAGAGAAGAACATTCTAGGCAAAATCAAAGTACCAAGGTCCAGGGGAGTCAAAGACTTGGTCTAATGAAGTACAGTAAAGCATGCTTGTAACTTGAGCAAACTGCACAAGCGGGGAGTATACACAAATGAAGCTAGAGAGGGAGGCAGGAATCAAACATACAGGGTCTCGCAGCGCATGTACAATTAGAAATTTAAAGTTATTCTTAGACTATGGTATGGTAGTGAAGCTGGTGTTTTTGAACGGCTGATTTTGCAGTTAGCAGCCCAAAGCATAACCACTATGCTTTCGCCAGCACCATAGGTCAAATGTATCTATTTTTCTTTAGTCTTACTTTTTCAATGTCCAAATTTCATATGCATGTAAGACAATTGAAAATACAGCTTGAGCCAGGCACACAGTAGATCCTGGCTTTTCAACATTTTCAGGAAGTCTTACGCAGCAGATTTACACGAGGCAATGCAATGCATCATTTGATTTCTTGACCATGTTTCCACAAGCATTTCTTGTGGAGCCAAGCAAAGCAAGATCCTTGATAGTTTTAATCTTTTCTCCATTTATCATGCTGTTACCTATTGGTCCAGTGAGGATTTGGGTTTGTTTTTTGTTTTGAATTGTAATCCATACGGAAGAGTGCAACACCTGATATTTATCAGCA